ATAAAAAATTGTTTTGTTCATTTTACAAATTAAAGAACATTTTATCTAAAGTTCCTTTTGGTTCCCATAAGCAGTACAAACTCATTTGCTCAAGTGGCTTGCAGTGGATAGGGAGTTCGGGCCTATTTTCAGGAACACTTATTTCCTTATTTCAAAAGTTTTTATTTGGTTTGGGAAGATAGTGAGGAAGAAGCAAAGTAGCGATCTCTTCTATTTTTTGTTTCTGAAGATTTTATTTATTTATTTGAGAGAAAGTGACAGAGATAGCAAGATAGGGAGAGAACATGAGGAAACAGGGAGGAGAGCACAAAGAGAGGAGGAGAGGGAGAAGCAGACTCCCCACTGAGCACGGAACCCAAGAAACAGATCTATCCTAGGACCCTGAGATCAGACCTGAGCTGGAAGCAGACCAACTGAGCCACCCAGGTGCCCCAACTATCTCTTATTATATGACTGTCCCTAGCAACATATGTCATTGTCTTTTGACTCAGAGTGACCAGGTGATAGGCTCAATAGTCTCCAGTGAGAAAACTCTTTGTTTTCAGTCACAAAGCTTTGTTTCTTTCTCCCTGTTCTCTTTTCCTTTGGAGTATGAAGAAGAATTTTGTAGGGATGGAAATTAAGCTCCATACCATAGAAAGCATTGCTCCCTTTCAGGGCCAGCTACAGTCTGGATTTGACAAGATAATTTGAGTTTGAAGTAGGAAGGTTGAACTCTTCTCTCAGAGTCCAATGAAATAGCCCCCAAAACAATAGGGGTGGGGATTCAATTAGGACAATCACCCAACCAACCAACCTTACTCAGACTCCCAGAAGGACCTTGATTGTGCCTGGGCCTGTTTTGGTGACACCAGTTATATATCTGCGTGGTGCAGTACTTCTGATGTTTGAGTCATCCAAGGCCCAAAGTATAGGATAACCCAGGCAAAAGGGACTTAAAAAGACCTGTCATCCTCCAAGTCAAGGAGAAAACAGGTGTTACCACCTGTCTGAATACCTACATGCACTATAGGCATAGCCCATGATTTGGTGGCCAAGGCAGTCAGGCTGTGAATTGGCATTAAATGCCTTTTAAAGACATTAATACTGGAAGAAGTGGTGCCATTATGAGCGTTGCTCATACGTCTGTCATCTGAAGAAGCATTACCGTTATTCTGACTTCTTAAAGGATTAGTTGGTTAATAGAGTGAAGATAAAATTCAAATAATTCTGTTTAGGAAAGCAAACTAGTTAAGGATCATTGCCTTAAAGCCAGATGAACCTAAGTTCCAGTAGAGGCCTTTCCCCTTACCAGTATGTGACCTTGCATAAATCACTTATACTCATTGAGCCCCAGTTCAGTCACCTATATAGAAGGTGACTATATATAACACCTCTCTCAGAATTGCTTGTCAGAATTAAAGAGCTAGAAATATGAGAAAAGTGGGCTGTGAACAGCAGTGATTTATATTACTTCTAGACCACAGTGTGGAAAAATGAGTGTGAGATCTCCATGTACTCTTTTCCTGTGTTGCAGTGGTATCATGGTTAGTCTGCATCTATGGTAAACTAGGGAAAGCAGAACCTCACTATCCCCAACTCTCACCAAGTTTGAGAAATTAACCTTTGTTGTGTTAAGCCACTGATCTTTTGGGGTTGGTAGCTAGCCTAGCATAAGCTTAGCATAAGCTTAGCCTAACCTGACAAATCCACAAATGATTCTCAGAATTAAGCAACAGAATCACTGGAATGCCTGTTAAAATACATATTGGATATGATAAAGCTATACTGGGAGGCAGGCGATAGATATGGGGATTGTGATGGTAAGATAGAACTACTCTGTTGTCACATCAGAATGCCATGGATAATGACTAAAGTTAACAAGTCAGGAAATAGCAATTACAAGTCATACATCTGATAAGAGACTTGTGTCACAATAAACAAAGAACTCTTACAACTTGACAATAAAAAGACAATCAACCCAATTTTAAAATGGGTAAAGGATTTAAATAGACATTTTGCCAAAGAAGATATACAAATGATCAATAAACACATGAAAAGATGCTCAACGTCATTAGCCATTAACAAATCAAAACCACAATGGGATTCTACTTTATACGGAGTAAGATGGCTAAAATAAAAAATACAGGCAATGACAAGTGTTAGCAAGGATGTGGAGAAGTTGGAATACTTGTACACTGTGGATGGGACTGTCAAATGCCATAGTTGTTTTGGAAAGTGGTTTGGCAGTTCCTCAAAAAGTTAAGAATAGTGCTACCACATGATAGCAATTCCACCCCTAGGTATACTCCCAAAGAAATAAAACACATATTTAAATGCAAAAAGTTAACTCTGATGTACATTATATATGAAAGTTGTTAAGAGTAAATCCTAATAGTTCTCCTCACAAAGAGAATTTTTTTTTCTTTTTCTTTTTATCGTATCTATATGAGATGGTGGGCATTAACTACATTTATTGTGGTAATTATTTTACAACATATGTGCAATATATATAAATATGTATATTTATATATAATGTGTATATACATTGTATATAAATCCATATACTATACCCCTTAAACTTACATAGTAATATATGTAAATTATATTTCAATAAAACTGGAAAAATATTTTAACTTTAAAAAACAAAAAGTGAAAAAAAGTATTTTTGCTTTTTCCAGCAGACATGAATAACTGTATCAAATACTATACACCTGTGCTTACCTTAGAACAGACAAAACTCAAGTACATTAAATTTAGAGTACCTGTTCATAAAAGGAATCAAAGCATACAAATAAAGTTAAAGCAACTTTGGATATTATCATTAGCATGCACTAAAGTTATCTACATAAAAAGCTAAGGCAGAACCATCATTTCTGTATGTATAAATATTATATTTTGTCTTTTCAATGAAGTTTATTTTATTTTTAAAAGCTATTTATTTATGAGAAACCCACAGAGAGAGAGGCAGAGAAATAGGCAGAGGGAGAAGCAGGCTCCATGCAGGGAGCCTGATGTGGGACTCGATCCCAGGACTCCAGGATCACAACCTGGGCGAAGGCAGGCACCAAACTGCTGAGCCACCCAGAAATCCTCTCAATAAAGTTTATTTTAAAAGGCAAAAAAAAAAAAAAAAATCCATGTACACAAAGTTTTAGTACTGATACACACTACAATGTGGATGAACCTTGAAAACCTTATGCTACATGAAAGGTTGTATATTGTATGATTCCATATATATATATGAAATGTTTAGAATATACAAATCTATAGAGACAAAGTAGATCAACATTTGCCAGGTGCTAGGGGTAGAGAATGGGAACCCTATTATATGCTAATGGGTATGAGATTTCTTTTTGGGGTGACAGAAATATCCTGGAACTAGATAATGACGATAGATTCAGAACTCTATTAATATACCAAAAACTACTAAATTGTACACTTTAAAAGGGTGAGTTTTGTGATATGTAAATTACATCTTAATGAAGCTGTTTAAAAAAAGAAATCACAGCATAAGCATATTTCAGCAATATGGAGGTAAATACTAGAAGAAACCAAAAATGTTTATGGTAGTTGCCTCTGGAGGATGAAAATATGGAATGGTAAGGCAGATTGAAGTTTTTAATAATAAATTATTTTGCACTATTGGATTTTAAAATTTGGTATTCATTTGATAAAAATAAAAATGAACTAAAACCAAGGACACACACACACACACACACACACACATTGTGAAGACCAGTCAAAAGAGATTCTGATATATTGGATCTGAAATGGGAACCAGGATTCTGAATTTTTGACAAAGTAGCTGCGTGATTTTTAATGCAGATGGTCTATTGGCAGCTAGCAAACTTTAAGAAAAACTACTGTATCCAATGTTAAAATCATTAGCAATGAATTGTGATATAATCTCTCTCCTAGTCTGTTTCTTTTGGAGTGGCAAGCTTCAGTTGCTAAATAATGAAATTATGTGCTCAGGGCTACATATTCAATCAGGGACAGAACTGGACCAAGAATTGAAGTCTTCTGACTTGATAATTAATATATATATTTTAAAACCTCAAAAAAAAACCTCTATTATATGTTGTGGGTACCAAAATCAATTAAGATAAATTGTTTGTTTTGAAAACGGCAAATCTAATGGGGTAATTATGTCTGAAAAAAATATATTACTTAAAATTTTACAAAGCATTTTTCCACATTTCATGTCAAGATTAATAAAACTACAGTATGAGAGGAGGGATCTTCTCCAGTTCAGCAGGGAACATAGAGGGGATTCAACTCAGCAGAGACTCTAGGGAAATCAACAAGGTTTTGTTACCTTGAGGATTCCAGCCCACCAGCAGCAGTGGGGCCCTGAGGGGGGTGCAGGACCCATGAGAAGATGCACAGTGCACATCAGACACAGTATTACTCCAAGTAAAGTGGCACCCACCTCTTAGCTTCCAGGACTTATTCCTGGACACAAGTGAGACTTCCTTCAGCCCTCCCCCAAACATCTGACAGAATTCTGGTTCTGCTAGTGCAGGTCAGAGGGTAGAAGTCAGCCCAATGCAGTTTATATACTCAGAACCTCATCTGATCTTCTCCATAGCCCTGGAAGAGAAGTTTTATCCCCATTTCACAGGTGATAAGATTGTTTGTTACAGTAATGGATCTGTAATAACTGCCAGGTTGATTCCTCCAGCTTCGAGTCCCAGAGATAATATGAGTTTTACACATCATTCCACATTCTGACAACAGGAATTTTGAGTGTCTCCACTGCCTTAATAAACTTACTGAACTGTTATTTTAATTGCGTGGTATGTATCTTCCCACATTTACAATCTTTTGTTATTTACTTTTTTGACAAAAGTAATGTTTTTTAAGGAAAAAGCAGAAGAGAGAAGATAATCTCTTCCACTGCCACTACACAGAGAAAACCACTATTTCTCTTTTGACCTACTCAGTTTCATAGTTTTCTCTACTTGTGGATGTATCATGTAACTATATATTTTTCAAAAATGGGCTGATGCTGTAGATGCAGTTCAAAAAACTGTTTTTTTATTAATATTTTTACAATGTACCATGAACATCTCTTCCATGCACATGGGTGAAAGTTCCCTACTGAAAGACAGAGTGTCAAAGTTGGGTCAAAAGGCTGCTGGTAACTGAGAGTGACACCTAAAGCAATGTATCAGCATAAGGTTAAAGCACATAGCCTGGCAAAATGCCTGCCAGGGAAAGCGAGTTGGCAATATTCCCATCAGAGAAATCAGAATTAAAGGCCAAAGGCATTAAACATATGGAACATCTTCTAAGTCCTTCTGGCCCCTCCCTCCGCCCCTCACCCCCCTGACACCTCGTTGTCCCCTTGGGGCAAACGGATCCTGTACATCTCTTTGCATCCAATGAAAACCACCCATTTTCTGTTTTTTCCTTAACTCTTCCTGAGCCCTTGAAATATCTCCACATTCTCTCATCATCTCCTCACTGCCCAAGTGCCTTTCCTGTAAGTCCTCCTGATAGTCCTTGGGGGAATCGTCCGTTCCCCTGTCTGTTTTTCTTTTTGCTTTCCTGGGCACATAATCTTCAGCTGGGCGCTTTTCAGCAGCCCGTGGCTCACCCTCAGGCTTTGCCTGGGATTCTGGCTTGCCCTCATCTTGTGGTTTTCCCTCATCATTGGACTTGCCCTGCTTTTCTTGTTTTCCATCATCTTCTGGTTGTCCCTCATCATCTGGCTGTCCCTTATTCTGGAGCTTTCCCTCATGCCCTGGCTTCTCCTCTACTTCCAGCTTTTCTTCCTCATCTAATTTTCCTTCATCTTCTGTATCTACTTCATCTTCTGGCTGTCCCTCGATTTCCAGCTTTCCTTCGTTTTCTGGCTTCCGTTCATTTTCTTTGTAGACCTTTTCCATGTTGAGATTCTCCCTCCTTTGCCTGTCCTAGGAAACAAAAAAGGAGGACTTAGATTGGGGAAAACAGCTTCTGAAAATAATTGCCTTTATGATTTAGGGTTTTCCTCACCTTATCTCAAATTACAGGCACATTCCTACCCATACATTTTTTTCCCTTTCCTTCTCGCTTCACACGTATTTACATGATGCAACTTTACAGAAACATCCACATGTGCTTCTTTTTTACACTTAAAACTTAGTCCCAACTTACACTGACCTTCAGTAATCCTGGGCCAGTTTCTTTTTTCCCTTGCCTGCAGTTGTGAGACTTCTAAAACTGCAGACAAAACAGAATAATGGCCACTTCTCAGATTTCAGGGCTACTCTATTATCTTCAAGAGGTTTCACAGATGCCACACCTCCTGTCTCTTACTCCCTTGTTCTCCACTCTGTCCTCTCCAGCCATAAAATACCGTGTTTCTTCCCTTAGAGTCCTGACAGAGGCCAAGTATTCTGAGACTGCAGTAGGGTGGCCAGGAGGAGAGTTGGCAGGTAGTGGCGTCTTCAACTTCTTTTTTTTAAATGTTTTATTTATTTATTTATGAGAGACATAGAGAGAAAGAGAGAGAGGCAGAGACATAAGCAGAGGGAGAAGCAGGCTCCATGCAGGGAGCCCGATGTGGGACTTGATCCTGGGTCTCCAGGATCAGGCCCTGGGCTGAAGGCAGTGCTAAACCGCTGAGACACCTGGGCTGCCCCTCAACTTCTGCCCAAGATTAAGTCACTCCTATTCTCAGAGGTCCTGGGACAGTTACTCTCTCCCACTGACCTGTACTGATCCTGCAGGTCTTTCCTCTTCTTGTCTGGGTTGGTGCCCACAACCACAGACCAGAAGACCTGTAGAGAGATGGGAGACAGTGGGTGAATAGAGGGTTGAGAAGTGAATGACTGGCAACTGGGACACTGATTCTTTCACACTATAGTTGTCAAAACTTTCCCAAATCCTGCCACTCCCTTGCCCTTTCCCTAGCTTCTCTGATCCTCCTCTACAGCTCCTCCCTAACAGTCTCCATTCTACTACTGGGCAATGGCAGAGAAAGTTTATTTCCAAAGGGGTTCTTTGTTTCCGAATCCTCTCCCAAATTTCTATCTCACTTGTTCTTGCACTAAAATGAGTGAAGTTTTGAAGTTCATTCAGCATAATGATGTTCAGAAGGCAGATCCTGCTGTACTCCCTTATCTGCCTTCCAAAACTCCCACTCCAGGGTGCCCAGATAACACGAACCACATCACTTCTCCGAAAATGGTGACCGCAGAGTCAGGGGGCAGAGCAAAAATGTCCGGAGCATTCGTGACACCCCTTGCCTCTTTACATACACAGATATACCACGTTTTTCTACAATGCAAGAGATAAATTATTTCCAAATTCAGTAAAAATTTGGGTTCATGCTATCTCCTCTCAGCTCTCCCTAGTTTAGAAGACACTCCTCAGCAAAAGGGAGCTGGTCTCCAGACCGAACCTCTGTCCCCCTCCTTTACAGCACCTCCTCCCCTTCTCCCCACCGACATGCAGCCCACCATTTCCGGCTCCAAAATGGACGGAAGGTGAAGAAGAGATGCAGGGAACGAAGGCCCTTCCCACCTCGGGCTCACAGGCTATGCCCTCTCCCGCTGCCCTGCAGAGATCAGGCCATTTCTTCGCTATCGCCATCCCCCTCTCCCGGCCCTCTCCGTCAGACGAAACTCCATAGCCTCCCTCCTAGGAAATCCCAACGGGTACCCATTCTCAACCCCTGGTCCCTCTCCATCTCCTCCCGCCAAGCCCTCCGTTTCTTGCACCAAACCTATGGCCATTGGGGAAGAACGGGGTAGTAAGAATCCAGTCCTGTACCCACTCTGGTCTTTGCCCTCTGCTACTATCCCCACCCCAAGGGTCCGCAGGTGCCTGTGGACTTGTAGCCATTCCAGAGAGATGCCTCCTTCTCCTCGGATTTCTTTCTGCCATAAACCCACACTTATCCACGGAAATGAGAGACGGTACCCAGACCTCTCCCCCAACACTCATACAATTTCCTGCGCCAAAATGAATGGAGGTGGGAGGAGGTGGCATCTGGAAAGCAGCCTGTACCAGTTACCACTCTTGTCCCAGCACCCACCCCGCTTCTCCTCCATCTCCTACTGACCTGCAGGGCTATTCACCAGCTGCCCCTTCGGCTCTCAGTCCGAAATCTTTCTCTACGGAAACAGGGAGCTGGTACCTGGAGGAGAGGGACTTCTGCACACGTCGGCTTCTGATCACGTGAAGGAAACGTCACCAGTGGGCTCGGGTCCTTAGTTCCCCTCCCACCAGCAGAATGTGCGTCAGGAGCCAGCCCACTTTTTCCCTTCCCTAGCCCCTTTCCACCGCCTCGCGGCGCTGTAGTCCCCTCCTCTCACCGCTGGACGCCCTGTCACTCACTTTGGTCTTTACTAATCCCAAAGATCAAACGTGGCCCCTTCTTCCTGTGATATGTGTTTGTTCTCTCTTATCAGGGAAGGGCTACATCTCCTAAGGCAACCGGCACATCTCCTAAGGCAACATTGGTACATCGCCAAGGAATTTTTTTCTTTCTTTCTCTCCTTTGATTTCAAAGCACCTACCCCTCATTCCACTTCTCCACTCAGCCACTGATGTTCATTTCTCTTCTTCTCCAGACCTTCATAAAATAGATACGTGGTGGATTGCCAGGCAGGGAGGTATATAGTTGAAATGAGGATTTTATTTTCTTCTAAGTAGTTTTTTTCCAGTTTTATTTAACTGACTCCCATCAGGTTGGGTTATTCTTATAAGGAAAAAATTAAATACAGCTATTTTCATTTGGGGCAAAGAATGTGTTTAAGATAGAAAAAAATCCAACAAGATTACAAAATTAAGTTCATTGCATTAATTATTACTACATGGAAAATGGATTCAATTAGCTACACACAAAATATTTTTCTTAATTTTCATAAATAGGTAGTTCTGTCATGTTCTACTAAAAATGCATGTATTTATTGTGCCCAATCACTGAGTATTAAGTAGACTTTCTGGAATCTGATGGCAGACACAATATCAGTCTTGAAAATTTGGCCTATGGCTATTTTTTTCCCCATGGCTATTTTAATTCAGAGATTTAGCTGTTGTGCAAAGGCAGCTGAGGATTTGAGGGATGCAGACATGGTCTGATTTTTCCTGTCTTTTCAAGAGGGGAGGAATATGCAATTTTCAGACTCCTTCTCAACCTTCCAGAGCCTCTCACCCTTTACATTCAGGCACCTGACTGTTGCTCACTCCAAAACATTCATGGAGAGATGACCAAGGTGGTGACCTGAGTAAAATGTCTTTGGCTCCTTCCCTCCCTTCCCCAAATTACCACAGAGGTAAGTCAACCCCAGCAGAGATGGAATGCTGTCTTGACAACTGGAAATCAGAAGAAATCCCTTCCAGATCCCTGTAGTAGAGGGTTTCTATGAAGCCTAGAAAAGTGATTGCTGAGAAGAGCGCCTCCATGCTTCGCTGTTCTCTGCCTCAATTCACAGTGTTCAGGGAAGCTTCTTTGACCCTGTCTGCTACCTACCACTTGACTTAGGAGGTGCACCCTGATGGGTTTCTCAACTTCAGTATTTTCACCTCCAGGGCACCTAAGGAGGAGCCTAGCCATCCTGCAGGGCTGCTGCCTTCCAGTCCATGCCCACTCTTGTCCTCTTTGAGTCAGATTTGTTTCAATGTCTAAGGAAGTCTGATATGCTGACTGTACAGATTGACCTAGACCAGGTGTTCTCAATTGAGGAAGTCTGTGGACCACCTGAAATGATATGCAAGGCTGCATATGTTTAGAAGATAGTAGATTATGTACACTTATGAAAAGAACTGTACCCTAGGAACCTGAGAAACTATGATACATGAGCAGATTGACATCATGAAGAAGCACAAGCTATAGGTAAAAACAGAGGAGATGGAGAAGAAGCTACTTGGTAGTGAGACAGAAAAAGGAAGAAACAAATAGCAGGTGAGCTATGTTAAAGGGAGAGCACTTACTCCTTGCATTCCAGCATTCTTAACTAGAGAAACTTCTGAATCCCTTGGAATTATATTCAAAATTATGTGCATGTGTGTGTGACTGGGCGAGAGATGTATATTTTTGCTGGGTGTGTGCATTTGCCTAGGATAGAATCCATTGGTATCACTGGATGCTGAGAGGGATATGCAATACAAAAAATGTGAAGGCCAATTGGCCTAAAGAATATACTTATATATATATATATCTTTTTACAAATGAGACTATATTTTTAGGAGAAATTAACATAACATAAAATTAGACATTTTAAAGTACACATGCAGTGACGTATAGTACATTCACAATGTTGTGAAACCATTTCCTCTATATAGTTCCAAAATACTTTCATTAACTCTGAAGGAGACCCCATATCCATTAAGCAGTCACTCCCAATTTTTCCCCTCTTCCAGTCCCTAGCAATGACTAATTTGCTGTCTCCATGGAATTACCCATTTTGAATATTTCATATAAATGGAATCATGCAGTATGTGACCTTTTATGTCTGGCTTCTTTGCATAATGTTTTCAAGGCTCATTTATATTATAGCATGTATAGTATTTCATTCCTTTTTATGGCTGAATAGTATTTCATTATATTCCCATATTGTATTTTATTTATCCATTCAAACATTGGTGGATATTTGAGTTGTTTCTACATTTCAACCATTGTAAATGCTGCCTTAAGCACTTCTGTATAAGTTTTTGCATGGATGTATGTTTTTATTTCTTTTGGGCATATATCTAAGAATGGAATTGCTAGGTTATATGGTAATTCTATGTATAACTTTTTGAGGAAATACCACACTATTCCACTGCAACATTTTGCACTCCTACCAGCAATGCATGAAGATTCCAATTGCTCCGCGTTCTCAAAAACAATTATTAATTGTTAATTTTTAAAATTTTTGCATTTTCCTAATGACTAATGATATTGGGCATCGTTTCATATATTTATTGGATATTTATATATCTTCTTTGGAAAAATATCTATTCAAGACCTTTGCCCATTTTTAATACTGAGTTGTTTGTCATTTTCATGTTGAATTGTAAGAGTTCTTCATATATTCTGGATACAAACCTGTTCCAGATATATAATTTGCAAATATTTTCTTCCATTTTGTTTCTTCCTTTGCCTTTTTCTTTTTTAAAAATTTTATTTATTTATTCATAAGAGACACACACACACAGAGAGGCAGAGATGGAGGCAGAGGGATAAGCAGACTTCATGCAGGGAGCCCAATGTGGGACTCGATCCTGGAACCGCGGGATCACGTCCAGAGCTGAAGGCAGATGCTCAACCGCTAAGCCACCCAGGCATCCTGCCTTTTTACTTTCTTGGTATTCTCTTTTTATTCACAGAAGTTTTTAATTTTTATGAAGTCCAATGTGTATATTTTTCTTTTTGTTGTCCTTGCTTTTGGTGTCATATCTGTAAGTCCATTACCAAATCCAAGGACATGAAGATTTACCCCTTTGTTTTCCTCTAAGAGTTTTAAAGTTTTGACTCAAATATGTAGGTATTTGATAATTTTGAGTTAATTTTTATATATGATATGACTTTATCTTTGTAAATGGCTTTGTAAGATTTAAAGGTTCTTTTGATGGCAGAACACAACACACTGTCACAAAGATAGAAGGCAGAACTCTTTGTTACTTATAGCTACAAAGGAGTGAAGGTTGCCAGGAAGAGTCACATAGGTTAAGCCTGGATAACAGGAACATACACCACTGTATAAGTTTAAGATATACAGCATGATGGTTTGATATACATATATTGTGAAATGATTACTACAGTAAGTTTAGTTAAGATTCATCTCATATAAAAAAAGATTCATCTCATATAGACACAATAAAAGGAAAAGAAAGTCATTTCACCTTGTGATGAGAACTCTTAGGACCTACTCTCTTAACAAATTTCCTATAAATCATACAGAAGTGTTAACTATGGCCATCATATGTTACATTACATCCCCATGACTTATTTATTTTATAACTGGAATTTGTGCCTTTTGGCCGCTTTTCTCCCATATCTCCACCCCCACCTCTGGTAACCACAAATCTGATCTCTTTTTCTGAGTTTGGTGGATTTAATGTATGTCCTCAGTGTTTTATAGTTTGCAGTGTGCAGGTCTTGATTATCTTTTGTCAGATTTATCCCTAAGTATTTCATATTTCTGATGCTATTGTAAATGATATTGTTTTAAATTTTAACCTGCAGTTCATTGCTTGTAGAGGACTGAATAATTTCCCCCAATATTCATGTCCACCCAGCACTTCAAAATGTGACCTTATTTGTAAATAGGGTCTTTGCAGATATAATTAAGAACTGAGATATAGGATGATACCTGCTGGCTTAGTTGGTAGAGCATGCAACTCTTGATTTCAGGGTTGTGAGTTTGAGTCTCATGTTGGGTGTGCAGATTACTTAAAAATAAAATATTTTTAAAGAAGGAGAATTGAAAGAGATCATATTGGCTTAGGTCGGCCCTAAATCCAATGGATGTATCCTTTGAAAAGACAAAGAACATATAGACACACAGAAGAGAAGCAGAAATTGGAGTTAGGCTATCAAAAGCTAAGGAATGCCTTGGGCCACTAGAAGCTGGAAGAAGTAAGGAAGGATTCCTTTCTAGAGACTTCAGAGGGAACATAGCATGGTTGATAACTTGATTTGGATTTCGGCCTTCAAAACTATAACACGATACATTTCTTGTTTTGTTTTTTTTTTAAGCCACCAAGTTTATGGTAATTTGTTATGGAAGTCCTAGAAAATTAGAAATACAACTAAATTTGTATTTAAGTCTTGTATCCTGCAACCTTTCTGAACTCATTTATTAGCTCTGGTAGCTTTTTTTTTTTTAATTATTTTTAAGAAATCTCTACACCCATCATGGGACTTGAACTCACAACCCGAAGATCTAGAGTTGCACACTCCACCAGCTGAGTCAGCCAGGTGCCCCATAGCTCTAGTAGCTTTTTGTATATTACAAAATATTTCTACATAGATAATTGTTTTCTAAGAAATTTTCTATTTCTTCCTTTGCAATCTATATGACTTTTATTTATTTCTCTTATTGTGCTGGCTAGAATTAATACACTGTTGAATCTAACTTGTGAAAATGTGTATTTTGCCTTGTTTTTCATCTTAGGGAAGAAACATTTGGTCTTTACGTACACATCATTAAGTATGTTTTTTTGTACCTGAATCTTATAAGGCTG